AGCAATTCTAGGGCCATTCACGTTTTGTAGGGACCTTATGCTTGTAGTCCCACGTGTCTGTTTATGGTGTTGTAGATAATCTCGGCCACCACCACTAACATCATTTAAAATAGTATAGATATTTACTATATTTTTATTTCATTTTTTTGTGATTATGCACTATGAATGTGCCCCTTAATATATGTCCAATTATGCTGAAGTTGAAGTGCTCTTATTACGGTTGTATCACCTTTATGTAACCATAATTGGTTGAGTTTAATAAAGTTTCCATTATAAAACATATGTTCAAAGAGATGAGCACCAATAATAATTTTATGATCTTGCTAGAATTATATAAAAAAACATATACAAGTATGCAGGGGCATAGACAAGCCTAAGATAATTAGGCTTGTGTCCCAGGCTTGTCTCCTTATTCCCTTGTAAATTATTTCAAAAATTCATAGAAAGTTTAAAGATTGCCCTATGTTTAGTAAATTCATGGCTTCTCCTTGCATGTATGTGTGATCATGGGAACCGAGAATTGGACCCTATCCAGTGAAGCATACCTTTTTTTTTCATTGTGGTTATAGCAAATTTTCTTTGCAAGTTTGTTATAAATAAATACCGATGGATATTAAAAACGCGTAAGACGTCCGATGACAAAGAAATATCAAACACACTCTATGTCAGGCCCCGCCACCCCTTCTCTCTCTCTTCCCCTCCCTCTTTCCATTGAACGCATCAAGCCCCTTTGCCCCTCCCCTATCTCTCTCTCTCGCCATTTTTCGTTAGCCTAATATACAGGCGCAGGGTCGTCTACCACTATAGCCAAAATCTTCGGCGAGAGCTCTGACATTGTTGTGGTGGGACCCTGGCCTCCATCCTTTTCCTCTTCCTCATCTCCGCTACTGGTCCCCTCCATGGAGGAAAGTTTGACAGGACAGCGCTAGGCCGTAGGCGATGATGACTGTATTCGAAGGAGTTGGCAAGGCAGCGGTAGGGCTCCCATGATAGAAAATCAGAAGCTCTTGCAGCAAGGGAGGCAAATCCATTGGTTGGGGTAGAAGAATGTAGGAGGTAGGCATTTTTTTTTCTTTTTGGAGTTTTTTTTTCGGGGGGGTGTTGCGACCTATTGTTTTTCATGTTGCACATTGGTGTACTTGAAGTTTCACTCTATTTCGATTGTATGTTGCACACTTCGATTCTTGGGTGTTGCAACTAGTTTGTTTGAATGTTGTATCTGGTTGAAACATTTTTCTCTAAGTGGTGAAACAGTTTTTTTTATCAAATATTGAAAAATCGGATACATTTTTACTGGAATTTTTTTCATTGAGCGGTAAAACATATATAATATTTTTGTACATTGGATGAAACGCCATCCGATAATTTACAAATCATCGTGTGTCCCCGTAGCTATGTCCGAATATCAAAGGATATAATTAATTGAACGACAAATTATTATAGAATCATGACACAGCGCAAACATAATTCAGTGGACCCTAGTCTAATAGCCCCCAATCAGAGGAACTAGTTGTTACTTTCATCAAAGTAGGCAAGTATTAGCCATATTAATGCTACAGTGACACATCACCCTATAATTTTGTCACGTAATGACTCCTATTCTTGGTCGTGTCTAATCGATAAGAGGTAGTGTTTGTCTCCCATAAGCGAAGAATAGTTGATAAGAAGTGTCAAGTGAATAGGTGGCACACAGCTGGATAACATAGTACATCACTTCTACCTTGTAGAAGCAAAGGAAAAAAAACAAGTAGTTACATGGGGGAAGATTTCCTGGTCCATGAAAACTAATATCTCCTTCTGAATGGAGAAGTTTTAGAGAAATTTCATATGAACGGAACTAATTTTTATAGAAATAATATAAAATATATTTGTCCCAGAGGGTGTAAACTTGTATCCCTTATTAAGAAAAACTAATTAAGGTTACGCTCACAAGTGCTGGTTGTGGCTGCCAGGTGTTACAGGAAGCAAGCCACATTTTTTCTAACCAGCTAGTTGGGCTGAGCTTTTTAGGGGGATGCGAAACGAGGCAAGCCTTTAATGCATGATTAATCAGTTTAAATTATTATAAATTCAAAAAATAAATTTATTTTAATAAATTTTTGTGTCCAAAAATTTTGTATGAAACATATCGTTTAGCGGTTCGAAAAATACGTTTACGAAGAATAAGAAAAGTAGCTAATCTCAAAATCATTTTAGAACACACTCTAAGACCTCAGGTAGCCTAATAAACTCTCCACCGAGCATAAGACTAGTGTGACATTATGCTTCCAAACAAAACCCTGAAACTTGTAGCTAGAGCTGCTAGTTTCATGGCACGAGAAGTATAGATGCAACCTGATCTCCTCTACCTTGCAACAAGCTAGTGCCAGCCAGCCAAGTTGCCAACACAGCCCAGATCAGCTGAAGCCAACAGAAGGCAGCAGCCACTGCCAGTGCCAAGGCAGCGGCCAAAGCCAATGGGCTGAGGAGGCATGGGTGACAACGCCACGTAGGACAAAGTGCACAAACAAACGGCGCCATGAGAGCAAGGCTAAAAATATAGCCGAGCCGTTGGCTATAAAGTTTTTTGTAGCCTTTTTTTAGCTTATCCATAGAATAGTTAGCTCATCCATTTGTCTTTCTCACAGATTGTCTCGTAATTTAACAGACCGTTTTTTTTCTCTCTCCTCTGTTTTCTTCTCCATCTCAACATTTAGCCGGCTTATAGCCTACTCTGACTGGTCCGTACGTATCTTTGCTTTCAGCGGGCTGGAGGTCACTACCTCCTGCACCTGAATCCTCCGACCACCCAACTCCGTAGCCCCATCTGTGTGCTGTCCTGCTTGCTGCTCTTTGCCCCTCTTTTCTTGGCTTTCTTCGTGCGTCTGGTATACATACACACCCGCTAATAGTATCCATTCGGAGATATTTATTTGTCCCCATAACATGGTCAAGCCTCATATGTTGTGATCTTTCTCAAGTTATGTGTTATGTATGTCGATGATTTCTGTTAATTATAGGGTTATCTATTTTCTATGGTTGATAATAGAATATTAATGTATCAAAACTACTTTAAAAATATGCCCCGCGTCATCACGTTGTAGAAATTTATTTTATCGAGTAAAATATGTGGAAGGCTTCGCGGCGCGTCACATTGAGTTCCCCTTTACCAAAGTGTCATAAACTGAGCACTTCACTAAAAATTTTATAACCTAACCATATGGTTTCAAGTTCAATGAACCTTGTTTAGAAGGTACCAAGGAGTACAGTGGTACACCACAAGGGTACTGATGCGCTGTAGCACTCGTACTCCTTATGACCCAAATAAAAACAAACATCACCAAACGACGAAATTGAACAGGCGGAGAAGATGACCATCGGACGTGGTAGGGATGCCTCAATAAGAGCAAGTTGAATAGTATAGCCCACTACTGGCTCTAAATCATCTATAGCCAATATAATAGCCAATTTATATAATAGTTTCTTACTATACTATTAATACCTAGTCCCACATGTCATACACATATTACATCTTGGAGTCCGTGCTACAGCTAGCTATAGATCTATAATCTGCTGCTCTTCTCTCTTTTCCTTTCTTTTTTTTAAAATATGTTTATATCTGGCCTGCTATCGTACCGGCTCTGAGCAGAGCGGACCAATTAAGGCCACAGCACATGAGGGCACAGTGGATCTGCACGCTGCAAGCGACAATGGAGTCCTCCCCAGTACACGTGGAGGGAGGAGAGTGAAAGGAGCCAGGCTTGCCTGGGCCACTGTGCTGCTGGTTGATGGACTCTTTGCCTAGTGAAGCCTCTTCAATTCCTCCATTGATCTTTCTTTCTGCTAGATCAGCATGGTCATGGCCATGCTCCAATTAGAGTGCTATACACTGGAGTACTTGCGGAAATGCTTCAGCAACTGGGAAGTTAATTAAGTGAGCATGGACTCAATGGACTCCACTGTGGAGATAAAAAAGAGTGGCGCTTACTTGCTTATACTCAATATTATCTTGGAGTGGAGCTCATGATCAACCAGAGTGATCTAAATCTAATCTTGTCGATGCCTAGCTTAAAATGTGGGCTAGAGGTTGGACATGGCAAATTTGATTGACATGCTACCGGCAAGATTGGGGTTATAAATGGGATGGGACTTGGCCACCAAATATAGGTGCTGCACAAATGATTTATGCAAGGCGCAGATCACCACTTTTAATTTGTGTGACTAAATTTTAAATTCCTAAAAATTCCATGTTAATTTATAATTAATATAGCTTATGTAATTACATTGTTTGGGACTAATTTGATGTTAGCCTAGTCGACAACTCATCATCTAATTTGATGTCCTAAAGCAAATTTTGTGTTGCGTTGTCGATCGGTTCGTCTAATGATGATTGTAAGCCGTACAATTTACTAAAAGATAATTTATGGGTCAATTTTTTATGTATAAGTCATTAGAAATTTAAAAGATAATGCTAAAAAATAAAGTACAATAAAAAAAGACATAACAACTTAGAGCAAGTATAATAATAGGTTGTAGGCCGGCTAAATGCTGAGGTGGAGAAGAGAAGAGAGGAGAAGCGGGCTGCAAACTTACAACCGGCTTGGACACCAGAACCAAGAAACTCTGTGAGAGAGACAAGTGGGCTCTGTATTAATTATAAAGAGCTAACTATTACAAATCGGCTGTATTATTAGCCTTGCTCTTGTAAGTTGCAGGGCAAACGATGGGGGAGGCTTAAAATTTAATGGTGTGGACAACCTTTAAGTAACATGGTCCAATTTCAACTACAACAGTATTCTCCCTAACAACTCATTTTAATCCGATCTCTCCTGAAACAAATCCTGGTGACATGAGACAATCCCTATGCAGATGGTCAGATTTCAACTTCAACAGTATAACCCCTAATATCACTCGACTACATTTTCATCCTCTTAGAATTTTCAAAATGCAAAACACCGTGTTAGTGACATCCCACTATCCCAATCGATCAAAACCCTGCCTCCTTAACCTGCTCCATCAGCGCACCCCACACGCACTTCATCCTTTAAAAGCACACACCACCCCTCTCCAGGGAGAAGAAAAATCCCCAACAAAAAAACAAAAGAAGAGCTTGATGCCATAGGAGAGCACAAGAGCTCAACCACACACACACACACACAGAGATTTTGACTATTAATTTTCATCGTCTTTGGTTTTAAGTTGGTGTGTGTTCTTCCATGGCCGGCCTGAGTGTCCTTCTTGAGACACACAAGAACGATCACCACCCCAACATGAGGCCTCCCCAAATCATCAGCAAGGCCACCCTCCATAGCCACCCAGAGACGATGTCCTCCTCCTCTCCGGCGACTGCGACGACGGCGACGATGAGCTCCTTCTTGCAGCGCTGCTTCCTCTGCCGCAGGGAGCTCGCCGACGGCAAGGACATCTACATGTACAGGTCCGTCCGTCTCCATCCATGGCATGCATCTAAGCTGTCTCTTCTGTTGATTACTCTGTCCATTCCATAGTACTATAATAGATTTTGAAGGACATATTTTAATACTATGAATTTAGATAAACTTACTGGTTAGATTCACAGTACCAGATACGTCTCGCCTCTTCAAAATTTCTTATATTTTAGGACGGAGTATTATATTACTGCTGAATATTGATGTATATGGCTATATATATGCAGAGGGGACAGAGCGTTCTGCAGCGTGGATTGCCGGTGCAAGCAGATCTTCATGGACGAGGACGCCGCCGCCGCCGGCGGCAACTGCGCCGCGGTGCGCGCCGGCCGGCGGCGGGCGGCCGTACCGCGCGAGCAAACCGGCGCCGGTGGCTTCGCGTACTGATCGATCGAATCATCGATCAGCCCAGCCGTACGCGCGCGCGCACGTAGATTAATTAGCACAAATGAAACGAAAAGCAGAAGATATCAAGCACGACGATTTGGGGAAGATCAAGATGCTTGATTCATCATATAATAATAATAATTTATTATTCACTCGCCAATGAAAATGTACTGGTTGATTAATTAAATCCCTTTCTTTGGAGAATGGATTCAAATCGAGCATGGAGTGGAGTACGTGGCAGCTCATCTGCGTGGGGCCCACGTGTAGATATGTGTACATACGTGTCTCCTCTCCTGATCCTCTGCTGGTCCTGGAGTAGCTGTAAATAAGGGATAAGATGGGCCAAGGCTGGGACACTCTTGGACCCTCTCCTCTTGAAGCGGATCATGACCGTAATTAACGGCGACAATGCTCTTTTTTAAAATACTCCATGTCTTTGTTGATTACTCTATCTTTTTTAGAAGAGTATATAATTTTAGCTTAATAATTTATCTCCAAAATTATAGTTTTAGAGTGGTCTACTAGATATGTTTAACACAATCAATAACACTCTCTTCTCCTCGTATTAACAAAGGACATAATAGTGCCCACCAAGTCAGACACTTCTTGCATACCCTCTGCGGTCTCCCTGACAGCCTAGGGGAAAGGATGCCTGAGAAACACCTACGCTGATAGTGCTCCTACGTAGCGCGTGAATTCGTCTACGTGATGGAAAAAGCAGTGGGGTCTATAGCTACGTTGGGTTCTCCGTATCTCAACAAAGGCTGTGTTTAGTTTAGCACAAAGTTTAGATTTTGGTTGAAATTAAAAATGATATGACTAAAAAGTTATGGGTATATGACAAGTTAATATGATGAAAAAGGACTGAAGTTTAAAGTTTAGATACAAACTTTGAATCTAAACACAGCCAAAGGAACGAACACCTCGCGCAAAAAACTCTGGCACAGGACCCACTTGGTGAGGACTCGGTGAGGAGAAGAGTTGGGAGATGTTGTAGCGCCGACTAGTGTGGCCGCCGTTGTTCTCCCAAGCTGGTGAAGCCTCATCCAAGTCCCCCACCTGAGAAAATCCGGCGGCGCTGATGCGGCCGTCACCGTCACCGCTCGGAACGAGGGAGTTCCGGACCGCCACCGCTCTGCGTCGAGATGGCCCCTTGCTGCTCCGCTCGGCGCTTGCTGAAGATGCCAGAGGACGCTGTCGCTGCTCCGTGTCGAGAAGGCCCGCCCGCTGCTCCGCTCGATGCTCATCGCCGCGTCGCCGGGGGAGCTCCTCGACCGCCGGCCTTCTAGGCTTCTCCGCGCGCGAGACGGTGTTGGCGCCGGTGCCACTGAGGGTTGAGGGGAGAGTAATCGGGTGCCGCCATGAATGGAGAGGAGGGGCACCGACCGGGGGAGCTCGTGCAGCTGGTGGAGTCGCCACCGGGGCACGCCACGACCACGTCACCGCCGCCGCTGACGACCGCGCCTCCCTCCCGTCAGCCCGTGACGACGCCATCGTCAACCCGTCGACAACACCGCCGGCCATCGCCCCGGTTGCGGATCTCGAGCGGCGGTGGCGTCGTCCTCCCACGTCGCTCCACTCCAGATCCGCGCCGCCGCCGCCGCCGCCGCCGCCGCTCCAGATCCGTGGCGCCGTCGTCACCACCGCTTGAAGCAAGGACGAGCCTGACGACGCCGCCTCCTCTCCGCTTCGGCTCAACACCAGTAAAAGGGGAAAATGGGAGAGAGAAGCACCGGGAAAGGGGAAAGGTAAAAAAGTGGTTGGCTTGGGAATCCCGTGAAGTAACTTGCATGAGAGGAGTGGATTCTATGTGTATTTGTTCTACGTGGCATGGGGCTTACACTGCTACTGCCTAATAGGGTGCTCCTTGGGTTGGCGGCACCGAAGTCAAGCTGATGTCGTATCGGTGTCAGATGCATATCAAATGGAAATATGGCGATAGAGAGTCGGCCGTCTCCTGACGGGATTCCTCCGACATGCTTGTAGTGGCTGCAGTTTTGCTAGGCTCAGCGCCACGGCCTCCTGCACGAGAGGGCGTAGCGCGCAGCCACCCCGCACATGTCTCGTACGGATAGCAAGTGTCCTCGATGAGTTTAATGGACTAAGGCTTTGTTTGATTTAGCTTAAAATTATTATAATTTGAGTTATTAGAAGTAAGTTGAAACAAACAAATAGCTTATTATGATATATTATTACAACCTATAAGCCAGATTACTATAATCTAATAATCCACTATAAGATGCTTTTTTTAGATTATTAGGTGGCTAACAACTAACAAATAACTAATAATCCAAAGAAATAAACATCTAACAACTTACTCTATGTAGGTTTATTATAATCTAGTTTATAGTAATTTGGCTCAATAATCTAGATTGCAATAATCTTAAACTGAAACGAACGTGGCCAACTCGAGTCTTAGAGAGTTGAGTCGAGTTCACTTTTAAAATCATTTTTTTAACAAATCAAGCCACGCAAGCTCGTCGATTCATTATGAGGTGAGTGTTAGCCAAAGCAAAACTGAGAAGAGAAGTACATTGATAACAAAATATCAGCATGGGGAAACGTCATTTTGTTCATAGGAGGCAACAAAAAGGAACAACACATAAATAACATACCCAAATATTAGGTCGATCCATTCATGCAAATGAGCGGAGACATGATCACTCTCAAGAGCTTTCCTGTGTTTACATATGAAATCAACAGGGTTGAGACCAAGGAGGCAATTCCACGGAGCCTGTAATACAGAATGAAATAACTTACATAGCTTTCCAGAAAGTTGAGTTGACCCTAAGTCAACCAAATTCACATTAGTGTAACTCAGTAAGGTAAAATATCTCTGGAATCTACAGAAATAATCACCATAATTAGGTTCCACCAAAGATTCTGATTAGACTTCCGTGCTAAGCAATGCACAATATACCACAGTGAATTGAGGGCACAGTTTTTAACAAAACTCACTAACTTTTTTACATTATTCATGTCTTCAAGGACACTGTTCCATGTTCTGTTGATACAAGAAAACGTGTGATCATATTGACCAAACCTGCCACATTGCTGCTGAATAGAAAGGGCCGTAAAAGGCTCTATCCTGACAAGATAATATAACACCTGCAGTAGATGCTTATGTCAACAACCAATAGCACGATAACACCTGAAGGGATTGTCATTGATGAACAGTAGAGAACCGATTAATCAAATGGGATGACAATAAATTAATCTAACTCCAAACAAAAGGGGCAACACACAAGCAAAATGCTGACACAAAACATGCATAATCTAAGAAAAGGTACCATGCCAGGACAGGAGCAATGTGAACGGTAGGTGAAATTTTGGGATGATTGGGTCGTTGAAACTAGAGTAATGTTCTTGGGGTTTCTCCAGTCATGCAGGATTCAGAGCGCCAACCGGCTGCATTGAAAATTTTGAAGTATCACTATCAGCAGTTATTGAACAAGATATCATCCCCAGAGTAAATGAATGGAAAAGAAAAAAAATGCACAGAAGAGGTCCAAATTGGCAGCAAGGAATGAGGTACAGAATCCACTTTTGGAAGATCTCAGTATGCGGACGCCAGACAGATCTTCCAGATCCAAAATGTTTTGGAGTGGTAATCTGCTAATATCCATGGAAAAACAGGGTATTGCATAAATTACTAGTGATCATTTAAACACAGTAGTAGATTTATTAGATCAGAAAATGAGAGTTATGAAGCAAACATGCATGTGCAATGTCGTTGTAACTGCGCCCAGCAAGAGTGTTCAGTTCCATCAGGTAGTCAAAATTGCTAATCTGCACAAAAGGACAGATCTACTTAAATCTTGAATACACTTAACATGTTGGGCTGAAAAGGTGGTTGATTGCATATCAACCTCCCATCTAGCCCAGCACTCTGTCAATTGCAACTTCTTACATATTTACTCAGGTCTCAAATAAAAATGCAATTGATTAAAACTTCCAGTAAGAGCAGATTTCAACATTGAACTTTGCAGAAGAACACCAACCTGGGTAGCTAGGAAAATGTTGTTCAAATAAGGAGGTTTTGTATGAATGGTTGCCCGATAAATAAGCATGTTTACATGCTTTCTGTATCCTAGATAAAAATCATATGCATCTTTAAAATATTTAGGCAGCTGTAGTGTGCTATATGATTCCAACAACGCAAACTAGAGTATCATCAAGGATGTACCTCGAAATCGAAGAAATTTGACCTATCTACCATGAATAGCTCTAAAGCACTTTACCGTAACAAATACCTGCACAGTTCATTTAAATCAGTATGACACACAAGTACTATAAATGGTTACTGCTGACTCAGTAGTCCATAGGTATATGAGAAGGGCACAGCTAATAAAAGCGCAAAAGTTATATTAGCTAACACTAAAGACAGTGCAGCAACAAGTTCAGTGTACACCTTCATACTAGATAATAAAGAATCATTTACCTTCTATAAATTTGATGAAGTGGAGATATGAAGCAGCTCCAATCTTTATCTTGCTGATCATATTGGCCAGTAGTAGATGCAGCATCATCCATCTAACTGTCACTATCACTAATATGCTCATCAATTATAAAGTTAAGCATCTTCTAAGGAAAACCATTACTACCTCCATCCCAAAATTTTGCTACCTAGTACGAAATTGGACACCCCTGTCCAGTTTTATAGTACTAGGAGGTGTCCAGTTGAGTACTAGGTAACTACATTTTGGGATGGAGGTAGTATACAGTATACACTAGGGCTTAATATATCCATTCCCATATTACATTGGAGATGAAGCAGAATACTACCATCAATGAATATAAATACAAAAAAAAGAACTTCTAATGTCAAAAAAATCAACATGGCAAACATAACTAGTCACTATACAAAGGTGACATGATGAGGGGTGAAATCAGAATCGCCTGTCTCCTCTGCAGATGAGGGGACACCATTATAGTTAGTTGCCCTCTGTTGTGCCTGGGTTTTCCTGTTCAGCAACTAGTTTGACATCTGTGTCCTGTTGTGGGGTAGATGAGCCAGTAACTTGGGTGGTTGGATCGACATTTCCATTGACTGCCTTTGCTACTTCACAATTCTCCTCCAGTGCCTGAGCTGACGGGCTGGATGAGAGCACATTGTCGGAATCATTGTGATCCACACATATAGGTTCCACCATCAGTTCAATCTGGTCCATTTCATTAGGATTTTCCAGATGTCCATCTTGATCAAAATCAGTGTTCTGCTGTGGAATTACAGAGTCTGGAGCAGGAGTGGCTGTATTACACTCATCGATGGCTGGTGTAGCTAAGTGACAATGTTCCTCCAACTCCAGTGAAGGACATGGACAGATGACATTGTTGAAATCATTGTTCTCCTCATCCATAGGCTCAAGGGTCATTGTTGCATCATCCACCATGTGAAGCTCTTCCTCTTCCTGGTGTTGAGCTTCTTGATCGGCATCCACAATGTTCTGTTCAGTTTCTAGCAAAAGTAGAGGCATGTCTTGAGTGGCAGCTGATTCAACATGTGGACTAGTAGCTGAACCACCATTTTCCTTGATCTCGCCAAGGTCGTGAAGAACATCTTGAAAGCCATGCAGAAACTCAAAGACCAAGGCTTGTGTGGTTGTATCAGCTGTGGACGCCATGGCTATCTTGGCCTTCTTTACCATACCATGCAGTTTATCAACCTACAACAATCAGCAGCCTTCAAGTTAAATATATTAGTTAAATTATGCATGGACTGCTTGTAAAAACTATTTGAAGTCTTGCAAAAGACAGCACGTGTATCTGAAACAAATTTAGGTCCAATTAACTTTAGAAACTGATCGTAGGAACTGAATAGATAATATGGCTTACTGCTTTGCGGATCATAGGAGCCTTGGCTTGATAATGAAGATTAATGGAGTCATCAGGCTGTAATGAAGATCCTGCTTCCACATCATCACTGATTGATGGTACAAGATACCGCCGTGTAGCCCCTGTGTACCAATGCAGGTACTCCTCATAAGAAGACGGGTCATACTGCTCTGACTCTGGAAATATGCGCTGTCGGCGGGCTTCCCATTCCTGAATGTACTCATGATGTGTCTCTTCCCAGTTCTCACGTTCTCTGCCACGTCGACTAATACGATGCAGCGCCTGTAGTGTAGGCCGAAAAGGTGGTGGAATGGATTGGCGAAGCCCAAATTGCCGCATCACTCGCTCAGGCAAATACATCTCGACTATTGGAAAATTTATTAGTGGAGCTTGTGTAAGCCACAAGTCAGCATTTTTTGTACAAAGCAGTGGCAAGCTTGCAGACTCAATGTGCAAGTACGGCTCCCACTTCACCTGATCTGCTCGCTGCAGATTCAGTTCATCCCTGTACTGCTTAAGACAGCGTGTAGCATTCTCACTTTGTGTGCGAGCACCTACCCAACGAAAGCCAACTGGGAGCACATCCTGTGGAATGTCTGTCTCTGGGCACACGGGAGACCGGACCAACGGTCTGCCAACATGGGAGCGCTCCCAGCTCCAAAGCTGCAAGAGAAGCAATGAACCACCAATGTTCTTGATATTGTGGGAGGAAGCAACAGAACAAAGAGAACGGTATAGGAAGGCCAGCACTGCAGATCCCCAGCTGTATGTCCCAACAAGAGAAAGATCAGCAATCAGTGGAAGATATATCAGACTCATCCGTCCTGTTCCATCTGGAAATAGCACCCCACATAGAAGGCTCAGGATATATGCTCGAACATGCCTCTCCACAGTCTGATCATCTGTCCCTTCTGGTAATTCATAGAAATGCTTCTTTAGCCATTTGTAGTGCAGAAAAGATTTTCCAGGCATTGATGGTCCTCTTGGATCATGACCTAGACAATCAATGACCATCTGCGCATAATCATGATCAGTGGTAGAACAAACTGGACGGCCATCGATAGGAAGAGCTAACAACATTGAGACATCTTGTAGTGTAACTGTCATCTCCCCAGAAGCCAGGTGGAAACTATGAGTTTCTGGTCTCCAACGCTCAACAAGGGCAGTGATCAATGCCTTGTCCAACTGAGGCATCTTCTGGCAAATTTGTGAGAGCCCAAGCAAGCCAGCATCCCTCAAATAAGGACGGTATCTCTCATGAAATTTTAAAGGTTTGTGATGTCGCAACTTCAACTGTTCCACAGCCTGCAAAAAAACATTGACCTCAGTCAGACTGCAAAGTTTATTCTTCCTACAAGAACTTGTTACTCATGCAACTATGACAAAACTTAATTGCTCTTAGATTAACCTGATCACCGAAGATTGCGTCCGATCGGTGGTTGATCTTTGGATTGAGTAATGTGTTGGATACATGCTCTACTGATGGGCTTACAAGACAAGGTAGTGGGCTTTGCTGCGGAGTAAACTCAACATTGTCCTCTTTATCAGAAGTAGTACTTGGGGAAGAAGGTGTGGAGGTTTCATGAAAGTCCATGTCATTTTCAGCCAAAGCACTTCTCCCACGGCCACAGCCACGACCACGGCGGCCACCTCCTCCTCTCTTTGAAGACATGATCCTGTACTGTTCTAGTATTTGGGAAATTCATGAGACCAGTCAGGGAAAAGGCACAGACGTTGACACTTGACAGTAAAAAAAACACAAGCATATGTTGAGAATTTATGCAGTGGTGAAGCCCTGAAAGCTGCAATGGGTGTGCACACTTTAGTAGCGAGTCTGAAGTCTTGAACAATGCAGAGGGGGGTCTCTCCACTAACCTGATCACGAAAAAAGAGGGAGAAAAGGGGGGAAAACATGCATATTCCTCTTTATGACTCGCTTCGAAAAGAGAATTTTCAAAATGAATTCTGCAAAATCATTTCATTTCGAGTGTCCCAGACGAGCCTACATCGATTGAACTTGCTATATTGATCTACATATGCATGCCACCAAACAAACACAACAGTGGATTCCATTTTCGTAGTATGATTTTCCAGTGACAACCAAGGAACTGAGACTTGAAGAGTGAGAATCTACGGGAAGATGACATTAGAGGATTGTACCTGCGCCTTGTGCCGAGACGCGCCCTTGAGGACGATGTGCCTAGCTCTAGCAATTCAGTTCGCCGGCCACCCACGGCTCCGTCCCCCTGCCCCCTCCTACAAGTGTGGCTCTTCGGCTTGCTACGCCCGTTGCTCGCCCCTCCACCCCATGGCCGCTGGTGGCGAATCACCGATCACACACACCCTAGGACTCAAAATCAAGCTATAACCATGACCGGCACTAAATCCGGTGGCCGGAGGTGGAAGACGAGACAAACTGTGGATATACCAAGTAATGACAAAGTAAAAGTTCAATTATGTTGACAGTATTCAGCAAATGTAAAACATCAGAAAACATGCTGCTGTGTAGAGTGAGCAGCGAGCGACCTAGCTTCCACTCCTTCCATGTTGATACTCACCAGATCAAGATTCATCAAAGAAGAACTACGAGCTACAACTGTTCCATGTTAATATTCACAAGATCACGATTTCGTCAAATAAGAACTACAAGCTAGAACTGCCATCCAAGGAGCTAGCAATCCGCCGCTGCAAGCAAACCAGGGAGTGAGGTCCCATGTGTCACCGACTCAACGCAACCCTAGGAGGAGGAGGAGGAGGAGGAGGAGAGGAAGTGGACGAAGCGAGGAGCACGATGCATCCTCGAGGCTCTTCTCCCCTCCTGCATCCTCCCGCTTCCTCCGTCCTGTCACTGCGGAACCCTGGAGAAAAGAGGAGAGGGGAAGAGGAAGAAGAAGGGCTCACCTCGGATCTCGAGAATGGAGGCGCAGAGGCGGCGTCTGAGGGGGAGGGAGAGGCCTGGATGAGACGTCTTGCCGGAGGAGGAGGCTCGGCGGCGCCGGCGGTGGCGGTGGCTCACGAGAGCGGCGGCGCCGGCGGTGGCGGTGGCTCACGAGAGCGGCGGCGCCGGCGTCGAGGGGAGGCGGCGCGAAGAAGCGACGGAAAAAAAAAAAAGAAAAGAAAATCCCGACCTCCCGAGCAGTGTGCTTGCCTACTTGGTAGGACGGCCCAAGTAGCAATTCTACATTGCGGCCCAAGTAGCAATTCACTCTGCGGCCAGCAACAGTACCAGCAAAATTTATATCAATTGAAAAAAAAAAACATCAGTTGCGTATTTGATCCTATTTTAAAAGCTAAAAAAAACTACCATTCGATTAATTTTTTAGATTAAAAATTTACTTTATATTTGTCTAAATTCACACAATCACTAAAGTAATAGGTAAGGAATCAACATGATGCATATTTTAAAACATTCAAACTCACTTTTGACAATAGCATATATCCAAATTTCTCCAAAGCAGACGAGGCGTGGTAGGGAGGTCCGGGTCCCTACAGCCTACTCATATCTCTGTGTCGCTCAGGTGGGCCTCCCGCTGCGACCAGCCCATTAACTTGTCCAGGACCAGCAACGCGGCCCATGCCGGTCGGAACTGCCCGAATCGCAACGCTAGATCGAACGGCTGTGGTGGCTCGGGAGATGCGGCACGGTTGGCTTGTTGACTTTTTCCGGCCCGGATTGACGCCGCAAGCCGAATCCACGAGTAGTGGGCTGCGGAATTTTGTTTTGTTTTTTTTTTCTCCCCATCCCATCCCGGCCCTGACGCCGCCGCACGACGGCCGGCCGCGGCCGCCGCCGGGGAGGTCGCCGCCGATGAGCCCCACCGCGCCGTCGCGTACGGGTCGTGCTCTCGCCCTTCTCCCTGTCCTGGTGCTGCTGCTCCTCGTCTGCTCGCCAGCCGCGTCAGCTGGTACGGGACAATCGCCACCCCACCGCGACTCTTCTTCCGATCTCGGTGCTGTTCTTGCTTAGTTTTATCTGTAGCTTTTGTTGGTCGTTAGCTGTATGTGTTTGTTTGTTACTTGGACGGTTCGTGGTGCCCTTGAGTGGATCCTTGATGCGTTCTGTGCTTGGTCGTTGAAATTGGGTGTGTGTTTCTTTTCTACCCAGAGACAGTAGCGTAGGTCCCTGTGGGCTCGTAGATTGAGTTAAGCTGCGTGGAATTTGGTGTATGGTAAACGCCGCCTGTTTGCATTTTAGGAATTACTGCTTAGGAATTTTTGTTTGTACTTCTGATGGATGTTATCAGTCATTACCAGCCTTTACTAGGGGAAAATATCACAGTTTCTTCAAATTGCATCCTGCTAGGAGTAGGATGAGCAATGGTACCTGGACACCAAGGTGGTACTTGAGTGAAATCTATAGTTTTTTATGAACATTGTGGCTTGAGATCGAATGGAGTAGTTTATGTTAATGAATTTAGGCATGTTTAATTATTGTTTGAGCCTCTGCAAATGAAAACCATGGTAGTCATACTTCTATGACTAAAATCATTATTGTCTGGCATCACAGGAGAACAGAAAGGTGTATGTGTTTCGCCTGGTGGACGATTCCCTGCCTTCTCATCTGAAGGTAAGCGTCCTGGAAGAGCAGCTAAGGGGCGCAGAGATCTGGCACTATGTAGAGTATTCCGGCAGAACACGTGTTGCGATGTGTCCCAGACATTTTCTGCCCTGCTCTCAGTGAGAAAGCTTGCATCGACTGGTGAAGGTAGTCAAGAATGCCTTCATCTGTGGGAACTGCTCGAGTGTTCGATTTGTGATCCACGGGTGGGTGTTAGGCCTGGACCTCCAGTTATATGTGCATCATTCTGTGACATGGTTTTCAAAGCTTGCTCAGAGGCGTACTTCGCTATCGATGTGAAAACACAGGTAAAGGGCATCTCTTTAAGCTGTGTCTAAATAAAATTTTCTTGCTATACCGATGTGGTACTTTACAAGGACAGTTGCAGTTGCCAGATTATACTTGCTCATTTCATAATTCATAGTTTGATCTAGATAATATTAGGTGAAATTTGATCATAGATAAACAGTTATTAATCGTGCTTACACCAATATACATGCCACGGGAGTTTTTAAGTTAAAGTTGTGGCATGTTAATTGCTTTTGTACTTTCTTATAGCTACGGTAGCTCCTCTCTTTTTTTATTCCTTTGCTTGCAGAACTGTAAGTAGCTGTGCCTCTGCTTTCTTGTGATATTTTTGTTGGATATTATTTTGTTGTTCGGTTCTGATATCTCCCCCTTGCTGCTTTATCAGGCATTGTCTCCATGTGGTTTAGGTGACATCCTTTGTGGCAAAGCACATAAATGGGTCTCTAATGGCACAGAGCTATGTCGCTCTGCTGGTTTCTCTGTGCAAGCTTTGGAGACCACCTCGGGTGGAGTGGATGACACTTTCTGCTATGGTGGGAAAGCAAGTTTTGATGCCATCTCTAGTTCATGGACATCTTCAAAAGAGCGTCCAGTATTAAGTGATGTGGCCTCTTGGAATCTTGAAGATTTTCGCAGATGGGCAAGAGAAATGCCTGCTAGTGAAAGAGTTTCATGGGCAATTGGAGGAATGGTTCTTACAGCAGGCCTTATATTTATCAGGTTTTATATCTCTTTCTTATTTTCATATTCTAAATAACAGGTATAGGAGATAAGTGTGACTGGTCGGAACTTGATACAATATCTGAAGAATTGGTTCTTTTCATGCCTATTTCAAACAAAAATATCTTATGAAAGATCACACAAAACTTTGGATTATGTCCGTGTGTTCGTTTAAACTTGCAATTTTCTTCCTTGGCTCTCTAGCTTAATGCCATACACATGCCATTTCCCCCTTTCAGATGCTTGTGTTGTTACAAAAACTAATTTTTTGTAGTTTGTGCAGTAAACGGAAGAGCTACATTCCTGGCCAAAAGCAAGCTGCTATCGCCCGCAATGTGAGAAAGCTGGAATCAAGAGTTAACCCACAGCAGCTTAGGCGAAATTAGGAATGCGTAGGTAGCATGGATTCCTATTTCCACCACTTTGTGATTCTTATATTTGAATCTGCAATGAATTTACTGTTGAAGATGTCCTCTACACTGGTGGTCAGATAGATGGATGGCGTCACTGGTTACAACCTCCTTTGTCATCCTTGCGTAGAAGAGCAGAAGAGATCTATTAATTCTTGTTCAGGTTATTTCTGTCTGCAGGATTTATAGATTTGCTTGAACATATGTATATAGTTTTGGAATGGAATCTTCAGAGATTTTCTTCATACTCCTTCAGTAACTCTTGCATTCTGTCTATTTTTAATCAGCACGAGTTAAAGCACTCGTTCAAATATGTTTTGCTCCAGATAGCCCTTAAAAGAAATCATGTTTGCTCCAGGCAGCCCTAAAAGAAACTTACAAACATAGGGAAAGACAGTACGTTCCGTGTTCTGATAATTTGAAGAAAACAAAGAACCTCTTAATAATTGCATGTGTTTTGTCTCTCTTTGGTTCGTGTATTCATTCAAGAATTTAAAATTTAGTTTCCATGTCCTTTTCAGATTATAATGTAAAATGCTGATTTTTGTAGAAAAGCTCCTTGAACAAACTGAGAACAGGCACAGCAGCTGCTTTCCCCGTAGGGCAACCACGAGAGTTGTAACTTTATTTTGTATTGAGCTTCATCCATACTTTATAAAAGCAAAATAAAGAAGTTACAGAGTTGCCTAATTACAACAAAATCTTTTGAAATTACATAGTTTGTACCAATCAAGAGCTAAGAATGTTTGAAAATGCCATCCATCTACAACTATGTAACGATTAAGAATGTTTGAAAATGCGAATACGGGTGGGGAATGCTCCTGCATTACAAACAGTAAGAACAAAATCCGTGGACCATTCTATCTTACGGCAGATTCAACTGCAGAAAACTAAGACAGATTCAATGCAAGACAGGAACACTTTTCCTCGTTGAAAAATAATAAAATAAGATTGTCAGCAAGTGAGGTTACATATCGCAATCTGAAATTGATCTATGCAGATCAACCCTGTATTACACCCTCGTTGCTCAGGAATGCCCTGGCAAGTTTCATTTGTAGTTAAGGAGACAAAATAATCATCATGGGGAGCTCATAGGAACCCCAAAATGAACCTAAAATAACCCGCCATCCAACAGCGAATATGAAGATCTTAATCTTTATGTGAATGCGCCAGGTATTGGCTTGTGTACTTGTCCACCTTCGGTCCAGATGTGCCGTACTTCGCGTCATAGTACTCTACCATTGCAGATCCCACTAACGCTGCTAGTGTTAGGGCTTGAGCATGCAACCTGCAATAATAACAGTTATATTAATTAAGTATGTGGGCTGTCAATTTGTAGCATGATTGACTTTAGTCACAACTCATTGGTGTATAATCATATGGAATGTAGTTAATCGTACATAAACTGCCTACATACATGAAAAGGTACAGGCATTCAGATCCAAATATCTGATATTGCCACCCAATGCGTTAGATGGGGTTAAGGTCGTGCCAATTTTACATCTACGAGGAAAAACAGAACTTCAAAGATTTAATACATGACTCAGTGCATTACTACATTGACTGACTTCAAAAAAGAGGTGGTAATATCGCTAGTAGATGCGTTGGAAAATAGCAACTTAGAATTCTAACCCTCTGGTCTCAACAATAGTAATCAAACCGTTCAAAAATAAAGAAGGTGGTCCGTATGTACATGGCTTCTATTTAGGTGTCATTGCTTTATGCACCTATCTAATCTAGCCCAAAAAAAATGGGGAACAGAACAGAGAAAATTATGAGGGCCAGCAGTGAAGGGTGCACACTTTCACAGGACAAAAATGCTACAAGGTACAAGCTATATATGGAATTGGACAATGCATTTCTGCTGATCTAAGTTTTGACTTGCTGGATCGGATGGACTAGTATAATTGTAAGTGCACTATACACAAAAAAACGAAGCTATTGTTGCAGACCAAGGAATCTTTGAAAACCAGTCCATAATAATACTGATACACTTCCAACCTTAGATATCTTAGTGACAAAAGGTCACGTGAATTACTTCGTACAGCTAGCGACATATAAAAATAGTAATTACAAGCAACGTTTTGTCATAAAATTATATATGCATAGCCACCTAGGTAGAATATCAAGTTAAACAGATAAGTTACTAAATTTCAAGTTTCCTGCGTTTCCTGCAGAATGGTCTGCATTGCAACCTTAAAGGATAACTAAGCCCTTCAGTGTTGAATGTAATCAACAAAATCAAATAATTCACCAAATAAATAATGGTGCATTCTTAAGTCTACCCTTTTTTTTTGAAAGAAGGGCAAAAACTTTGCCACTTTTGTATTGATAAGAGGAGGAGAAAAGCCTCAACAGTGAACCTTTACAGGTCTTATATCTACTTGCTTGGCGGGATAATTGTAAACGAACAAATAAAAGACCTACTGTTCAGGAAGAACAAATTATGAACCCCGTGGACTATAATAATATCCTACGTGGTTTGATTATCTCTAGTGGTCCCCGGCTGCCTGCTAATAATCACTAGCTTGTAGTCCCAATAAAAAAAACAAGTACACTCTCTACAATTAACTGGAAGTAAAGTTCTTCCAAACCATGCCAATGGAATAAAAGAAGGATCCATAGCTCCATATTCAACTACAGCTGGCAATGGTAAATGGTAGCCAAACTGTCTATAGTCTGTTGAACAATGCTACACTATACGTTGAAACCTTCCTACAGGCTCATCGATGACCCAATTGGAGCAATTCTGTCTGGTTTCAGTTGAAATCGAAGTTGCTCAAGTCACTTCATAACTCAGAATCAATCTGGAAGGCATGTGCAACAGAATCACTTTTCTATTGTGCAAACATTATGTTCAATCGACCTTTTAATTATCATGGCAAGGTTCAAAATCCTTTTATCTTATTGTGCTAATGTTCACAAATCACAATGCCTACAAAGCGTTCTCAAGATGAATAATCCGTGTATTCTTAATCATGGTAAGACACGAGCCTGAAGCTAAGATAGATGAGACAAAGGCACAAACCTTGCATGGATGATCTTGACGCTAGTCTTCATATTGGGCCTCGACCAGTTGTACGCAATCGAGCTGCTGATCCCAGTAAGCCATAGGCAACCTTCACTCACAAACACATAACATAAGCAACGTAAAATAGTTAGAAAATATCCAAAAACACGAGGGGAAAATCAATCTCAAAATTTGGGGAAAAGGGGAATCCTAAATAGAATACACAACATAATTTTTTTCGCAAGATTGAGAGATAAAATCATATAAAGAAAGCCGATGAACTTCTATCGGGAAGACGCATGGATTGGGGATTTGGTGGTGACGCATGTAGCAAATCGTACATCAGAAAAGAAAAGAAAAAAAAACAACAGAAAAGTAGCAGATCCGCGCGGAGGAGATCGAAATCCCAGGAAAAATTCACGAGATATTTTACCTACGGCGCGGAGCTTGTGGTCGATGACCCACTTCCTCATGGATTCAATCTTGCCCGGGGCTTCCGCCATTTGCTTCGCCGCCTCTTCCCCCATCTTCCTCTCCGATTTCTCTCGCTTCTCTTTACGCGCTTTGTTTTTCTTCTTTCTTTTTTTTTTCGAGCTCTTTTCTTCTCTCTCGTTGCAAAATTGCAATTGGAGAAAGCCAGCCTGCCTCTAGTTATATCGGAGGACTTGTTTGTTTCCGGTCCTCAATGAATTCGGAAATTCGTTTAGTATCCGGGTAAATTATTTGGATTCCTTTCACATGTCCCAGCTTGTTGTTGCTAATTTGTTATTCTCCACTTGCAAAAAGAAAACGTTTTTGTTTCGTTAAGCATGTTCTGTATTTCTTGTGACCGAAGAAAGAGAGAGATAACGGTTGCGATATATTCTTTGGAAATAAATCGTCCTAATAATTTTTAGGTGCACCCTCTGTGAGGAAGTGGAAATGACTTTATGATTTTGCGAGGAAACAGGGATATGATTACAATCTTGAGCGAGAAGCTAGGACACACTCCCTAGAGCCTGAAAACGCCACACCGTATATGGCATATAATTTGAAAAACCCATATGACATAAATCACACTCTGTCGTGTGATTTAAAGAGACGTAACTCTCTAGTATTATTATTGGAATTCTATTAAAGTATACTTATATATAATATTTGCGAGTACCAATATATTAGAATCGTGCACCGGCCACAACCCCGTACTATAGCGCTGTACTTCCCGTGATGATTTAATTTAAACTCATTATAGATTGAGAAAAAATACTAGAAAAAGGTAAATAAAAGAGAGGCTTTACTCAATGAAATACACAAGAAGACGCATGCATCACTGTAAAAGCTTAAAGATATGAATGTCATAACGATTAATATATTCGATCTCATGAAATTTGTACTGAATCACATTTTTTTATACGTAATATTTATAGACACTAAATTTAAATATTGATAAGTTAAGTCATGCACCAACGACTACAAAATTTTGTACTCACAATAACACTAAGAAAAGTTAGGTTTTTACTGGTGGTCTCTGAAAAAAATGGATTTGCTAAAAGCCACCGAACAATTGTCATATTCTACTCGCGCAGTCTAAAGGCCATTAAGATAATGTTTCCAATAAAGTTGGAGAGAGAATTTGACTAAAATGGCTTCGCTACCCTTCTTACTAATTGGCATTATTTCTCCTCTCCCTGTCTTCCTCTTGTTTCTTCATTCACGCAAGATGGCATTGATGGTGAGCATGACAACAATGTTGCCATATCTAGTTACCTTTGAGTCTTCTAGTGCTCGATTTGCCGATTATCAAAATCCGAACTCTAATGCTTGAACTAGCCCTATCGTGGCTCGGTGAAGAGAATGGTCTATGGATAAAGCTGGCTTTATAGAACCAGTCACTACTCCATCCTCCCTAACCTAAGAGCCACCACCTAAGAACCACTTTGACATCATAAGACCTGCTCCTATAAGGCTACTCCACCACTACCGCGGCAAACACAAGGCCCACTCGACATGAGGCGGTGCCCAATGGCTCAAATCAGCTCCATCGCGACTGGTACCCCTTCGCAAGAGGAATATTAGAAGAATGAACAAGAAAGGCGAAGGTATAATTTTCTTGGGTTTTGTCATTACTAAGGTGGTGTTTTAATCTCCTGAAGATAAAGATTAAGTGTTTCACGCAAAACGATGTGGTAATAATGTGCGACTAATTGAGTTTTAATTATTACAAACTTGAAAAATGAATTAATATGATATTTTAGAATAACTTTCATATAGAAAGTTTTCGTACGAAACACACCGTTTAGTAGTTTGAAAAGCGTGCCACAAATATCCGAAACTTTATCCTCTCCTTACGGTGGATTCGAACGGGGCCTAAGTGGATATTGTATTTTAGTACTCACGATGCCCTGCAGTAAATTGCCACACTTTTTAGATATCATTAGACAAATTTTCCCAAAATGGCAAGCAATATAATGTGTATGAAACTAGTTATTACAAAGATAATATAAGGTGTATGAGGACCAAAGTACAAGATATAGTCATCCGTTTAACTAAGAGCTTTAGTATATATCTTCTCAAAGAAAGTCCAAACATCGGTAGATATAGTATATACTCCGTATTAACGTCCCGAACAACAAAACAACTTTGCAGTCTCTGAAAAAAAAGGTACAACTATAAAAATATTTGCTCATAAACGACAATGCATGAGTAAAATTGCAACGTCGTTCTTTTCCTCCTCATAAAAAAAAAAGAGAAAAAGAATCAACGTTCACGCCCTTCAATTTTGTCCGGCTTTGCAAAACTTTTTGCAGCCCTCGCCAACGCAATTCGTACAAACCGGAAGGGGGTGGGTGTGACAGCGCAGAGGCCACCGAATCCAACGCGAAAACGGCACGTTTCTGCCTTGGACGGCGGCCGCGCGGTCAAACCTCGGCCTCCCCCTCCACGCAGCTCCACCTGACCCGGCGGCGACTCGTGAGTCGTGACACCCCCCCCCCCCCCTCGCGGAAGTGGCTCGGCAGGTGGCGAGGCCACGGCGGCATAGTTGGATTCGCCACGTCATGTTAAAGGAAAAACTTTAGTCAAATTATACATAGGTATCACATCACTCAAATAAGATGATAATAATATGGAAGAATCTCATTTACACTTGTTTTGTAAGTTAGAAGATCCGTTGTACTCCCTTCGTTCTAAAAAAAGAACCTACGATGTGACATAGTTTTGCGGAGAGAGTATCTGGTTTTCCTGTTTAAGAATGAAAATTGGATTTAAGGGCTATTTACTTTGGTGCTAAAATAAACCATACTAAATTTTGACAATACCAAGACTTTGGTAAGGTTAGCAATATTGTCAAATTTTGGCAAGATGGCTATTTTGGATGCGTTCATTTTGTTGCCAACATACATGCTACTCACACATATTGCTGTGCAGTTGCTAAATTTTAGTTATTACTGTGCAGTTGCCAAATTTCTGATATATTTATCAAAAGTTAGTAAGAAACTAAACATATGCAACTTAAAAAAAAATGGTATGATTTAAAATGACATCAAAGTGAAAGTTAAGGGATCTCAAATGAGCTTATTCCCGTTCCGGTTTGGTTGGCGTAGCGAATTTGTCGGCCGTTCGACGAGCAGCTGGCTGGGCCGGCTCACTCACACCAGCCGCATCGAGGCCCAACTGAGAGGCTAATGGGCCTCGGCCCTCGGGACGGTTTGCCTCCGGCTCCGGCTGCGGATGGCCACCACCACCACCACCATCATCATCGGTGCCCGCCGCGGAAGAGGAGGAGAAAGGGAAAAACCCCGCGCTGTGTAGGGTTTTAGGCGGGTCGAGGTGGAGGGGGGAGGATGGCCGGCGGCTCGTCGCCGGCGATACGGCCGATCGGCAAGTCGGCGGTGCACCGGATCTGCTCCGGCCAGGTCATCTTCGACCTCTCCTCCGCCGTCAAGGAGCTCGTCGAGAACAGCCTCGACGCCGGCGCCACCACCGTCGAGGTCACCCTCCGCTCCTACGGCGAGGACTCCTTCACCGTCGCCGACAACGGCACCGGCATCTCCCCCACCAATTTCCAGGCACGAATCCCCCCTCTTCTCCTCTCCCATTTGCTGCTTCGCTCTCGCGATTTAGTTGCTGACCGCCATGTGCGCTTCTCAGGCGCTCGCTCTGAAGCACCACACCTCCAAGATCTCGGACTTCGGCGACCTCGCCTCCGTCGCCACCTTCGGGTTCCGCGGGGAGGCGCTCAGCTCGCTCTGCGCGCTGGGGAAGCTGACGGTCGAGACGAGGACCAAGGACGAGCCCGTCGGGACGCGCCTGGAGTTCGCGCACTCGGGCGTGGTGACCGGCGAGAGGAAGATGGCGCGGCCGGTCGGGACCGCCGTGACCGTCGAGAAGCTGTTCTCCACGCTGCCGGTCCGGAGCAAGGAGTTCAGCAGGAACATTCGGAAGGAGTACGGGAAAGTGATCTCCTTGCTGAATGTGAGCTGCCCATCTTATTAGTCCATGTTCGTTTTGCGGGCATTTCAATTTGCGTAAAGCTCATGTATGTTATTAGAATCTAGTTCATCTCCTGATACACATGTTTATACCACTCTGCTGTTTTACTCTACACATGTTTCGTTCTGGTTCTGCTAAGAACTGTGATTTATTTTTTTTCTTTCCCTAATTAGGCCTATGCGTTGATTGCCAAAGGGGTCAGATTAGTTTGCACAAATACTGTTGGCAAGAATTCTAAATCGGCGGTGCTTAGGACTCAAGGGAGCAGTTCACTGAAAGATAATATCATTACCGTATTTGGTCTGAACACTTTCAAGTGCCTGCAGCCCTTCAATGTGACAATCTCAGAAGGCTGCCAAGTTGATGGCTTTCTTTCCAAACCTGGACCTGGTAGTGGTCGCAATTCAGGGGATAGACAGTTCTTCTATGTTAATGGCAGACCTGTGGATATGCCAAAGGTTTCCAAACTTGTCAATGAGCTGTACAGAAGCTCAAATGCCAAGCAATACCCTGTGGCTGTATTGAATTTCTGTATTCCAACCACATCTTATGATGTGAATGTTGCGCCTGATAAGAGAAAAATTTTCTTCTCATCTGAGCATGCCATTTTGCTATCTTTACGGGAAGGTATTGAGAATCTGTACTGCCCTCAACAATGCAGTTTCTCCATCAACAGCGTTGAAGATCCTGGGAAGGAAATGGACCCAGCCATCGATGGGTCTGATGAAGACATGTGTTTAACAGAAAAGGAGAATGTTTCAGCTCCTGAAAATGACGATGACATGGATGAAACAGATAGTGATGATGAGGTTACACCAGAGAATCAGAAAGTGCCTTCTTCAGTGACAACAAGGGTAGCCACTGGATCTACACCCAAAGATGTGAGCCCCTTGTCAAGAGGCCCACCTGCTCAGCTTGATAGATCTACTTTGCTTTCAGCCTACCGGTATGAACAACGAGAAAAGACGCCTACACGAGTAAAAAGTTATCCAGCACAAGCAAATCATGTTAGAACAGGGCTTGCTGCAAAGTCTTCTCCTTCAAGTGCTGTTCAACCTTCTATTATGAAATTTCTATCACAAAATAAAAGGAAACACGAAGACAGTTGCAATCTTATTTCTGAAGCTCCAGTGCTGAGAAGGGGAACATGCTTGGAGCAAG